AAGTAGTATAAAGTTTCGTTTCAGGTGTCAAGTACAAAGTCACTCAACATTTTTTTAAGTGCCCATTGCATACACAACATTATTTAGTATTGTGGTGAGATTTAAAAAAAAAAAAAAAGAAAAAATGGCTTTTAGTGTCAAGTTTATAATCTAACAAGGCAGACAAAATGCACATATAAGACAAAAACATACATACAACAGGAACTTTTAAATGCCCGACAGCAATTAAACAGTGTATAAATTGTAAGTGTTAACTGTATTGATTATTCTAACTTTGTGGGTTATCTGAATTAATTTTTTTCTTATCAGGCATATCAAGTATATTTATAACTATTTCAGCTAATGTTAAACCCCTGCTGTAAAATCCAAATCATGTTTTAAGTTTAAGTATTCTTAAGAGAATACAAACACATTTTTATTTACTCAAGACAATTAATGGTCTTAAGGATTGGGGTGAGAAAATTCACATTTGTGTAAATGAAAAATTTCTTTCTTGATCATAGGCATAAGAAACCAGTCAATTACTCACAGTTTGAGGACTCCGACAGTGATGGTAAATAGATTCTTATTTCTACTTTAAAGATTTGCACATTTATTTCTTCAGAAATATGTATGATATGTCATGTTGAACATATTACCCAATTGCATATGAGGTAGGTCTGGAAAAATAATTTTCTAAGCATTTGGGGATAACTACGCTGATAATTATACTGACAAGAAGTATGTAGGTAAGTAATAAATGAAAAGAGCCAGGTAAAATGGTTCCTTAGGCCAAAACTACTCTATGACCATGTTTCTCAAGGTGGGGTTTGTCTCCTATCCCTTCCCTTAGGAAGGGACACACTTTTTTGAGACACAAATGTGTTGTAGATATAATGTGAAATCCCTATTAATTGTACAATAAAACAAGACCTTGAAGAAAGGTTGGGCTTAAACTATATATACCCTATTGGGTTATATATTTACTTGTCTCTGCTATTAAGGCAACTTTGGTCAAAAAGTTTGAGAAACATTGGGCTAGATTACATTCACTTTGAAGTAGGTTTTGATTTCTCAGACCACCAGAGCTTTCTGTGAGTCAAATACTTAGTAACTCTGAGGTTTGAAGAAATCTGTTTTTTTGCTTGGGCACAGCCTTAGTGTGTCTAAGATTTAGGAGACAATACTACAGAATATAATTTGTAGCTTTTTATCACTGTCATCAATCTGTCACAACATATTTATAAATTGCCAGTTGTTTTATAGGCACTATGGGGTAGAGGTGGAGACAATCACAAGTTATCATATTTCTATATGAGGAAGCATAAAAGAGATAACATGTACTGAAAAATGCTAAAGTATGTGATTAGTACTACTTGTACCCTGAAAGTATGCAGAGTTCTGTCATGTATCAGTTTAAAAGCTAAAGCAGCAGTTTTATGTTGAGTATGAACAGAACTATATCAGTTTTTAGTGACTTAGTTTTTGATATGTTGATATTTTAATGAATAAAGCCATTAAAACAAAGTTGAAAAACATGAGTAAGAATAAAGACAACATACCAAATATATTGTTTTAATTATGGAAATTTAAAAATGTGCTTAACCTTTAAAACTTAAACACCCACTGTAATGAATTTCAACTACTAAGAAAATAATTCTATTTGTTTCTTACTTAGAAAAAGTAATTTCATATATTTTATTTTTAACTCACAAATAAATAGATGATTTTGTTTCTGCAACTGGACCTTTAAATAAGAAATCTAGAACAACACCAAAGGAGTTAAAACTAGAAAAACCAACACCTAAATTGAAGAATCTCCAGAAAGAAGATACCCCATTGCAAGAGAAAACCCCTAAAAAAAGGTGAGAGGTAAGACATATGGTAAATACATGACATTGGATGTGTTAAGTTACAAGAGAGACAGATGCAGACTCTAGGTTTAAATTAGATCTCAAACAGAGACAGGGGTTATTTTGTATAGTGCCTGTAGGAGAACAAGGATGTAACATTAATCCTCTTCTGACTTTCTGACTTAAAAAAGAAATTCATAAACATGTAAGGAAATATCCAGTTAAATATTAAGACAATCATACTTAACAAAATTTTGAAGTTACAGCGTCCTTTTACAGGCCCCCTCACCTGTCTCTGAAGTCAAGTCTTACAAGACTACTTTGTTAAAAATTACATTTGGAAGGACAGTTTTATAAAATTTAAAACCATGTGTTTTTCTGCAGACAGAAACTATTTTCTCTTTATATTGTTGAGACTTGTCCAGCAGTGAGAAGATCTTGTAATTTCTAGACTAACCTTGGAATTTCATTAGTTAATACTGACAGAGAAGAGAGAGTGAGGGAAGGAAGTCCTGAGAGGCCCAAAACTTGTAGTATGGAAAGGAGATAGGCAGAAGGGGAATATTAACAAATGGATCGTGGATCATGTGATGGTTTACTGCTACAAGTATGAGAAAAGTTCATTAGTATAGAGAAACTTAGCCCATGTCATTCTCTTTACTTTTCTCTCTCTCTTTTTTAAAATTTCTGTTTTTGAGCATCTTTTCACTATATTTTAAATATAGTGAAAATACCCACAAATGGGAGAAAATATTTGTAAATCATATAATTGAGAGACTTGTATCCAGAATATTTAACCCTCCGTCAGGCGCATTGCAAAAGTTACGTGTTCAGACGCAGTGCATCTACTAGATGCGTGTATGACATTTATTTATTTAAGTTGAAAATTAATGAAAATAACGTGTAAGCATGCTTATTATTTATTCAAAATGAAATTTTAATTTGCCACAAAGTAAAAACAATATATGTTTATTACATAAATTCAGTATAAAAATCAACAGAAATTCAAAACAATCTGTGAGATCAGTTGCGCCCGGCAGAGGGTTAATGAACTCTTACAACTCAACAATAAAGACTAATAACCCAACTTTAAAAATGGGCAAAGGATTTGAGTAGACATTTCTCCAAAAAAGATATCCAAATGGCCAAGCACATGAAAAGATGTTCAACATCCATAGCCATCAAGGAAATACAAATCAAAACCACAGTGAGGTAACACTTCATACCCACTAGGATGGGCATAATAAAAAAGACAGACAATAACAAGTGTTGAGGAGGATGTGGAGAAATTGGAACCCTCATGCATTGCTGCTGGAAATGTGAAATGGTACAGCTACATTGGAAGACAGATTAGCTGTTTCTCAAAATGTTAAACAGAGTTATTATATGACCTAGCCTAGGCATTTACCCAAGAGAAATGAAAACATATGCCCACACAAAAATCTGTACATGAATGTAGCAGCATTGTTTGTAATAGTCTAAAAATGGAAGCAATCCAATTGTCTGTCAACTGATGAAAGGATAATGTGGTCTATCCATTGTATCCATACAATGGAATCTTATTCAGCAATAAAGAGAAATGAAGTACTGATACATACTACAACGTGGATGAACCTTGAAAACATGCTGATGGAAAGAAGCCAGGCACAAAGGCCACATCTTGTACGATTCCGTTAATATGAAGTGTCCAGGATAGACAAGTCCATAGAAACCAAAAGTAGTTTAGTGGTTGCCAAGAGCTGGGGAGTGAATGCTAATGGATACAGGGCTTCTTTTTGGGGTGTTGAAAATATTCTGAAATTAGATAATGGTGATGGTTTCACAACTCTGTGAATTTCCAAAAAACTGCTGAATGATGAATTTTATGTGAATTATATCTGAATGAAATTGCTGTTTTAGAAAAATAATAAATCCTGCAAAGTGCATCTCAGTATTTCCTCCTTTGTGTAACCTTTCCTTCTCTGTTTTTGATTTCTCTTCCTCTTACACACCACAGTGCTTTTGACCACCTTGAATAGGAGTCATAATGTGCTTATATGGGATAATTATTAGTCTGTCTTATTTCCCTACCCTCCTCAGTAACGGCAGAGTCCTTGATGGGACTTTTGTGTCCTATCTAGTACAGTGCCTCACAGTAAGTACTTGGTGAACTGTTTGCTAACATGTAGATTGGGAGGAACAGGGTAAAAACATTTTTTTTTAATTAAATATAAGACCTATAATAGCTATCTGAGGAGGGGAGGGTGAGGTCAAGGAAGACTTCTAAGTGGAAGTGATGTGTGAGCTAAGCCTTATTATTCTAGGTTGAGCAGGTGCTTCCCAGTTGGGTGAGCTGGTGGTAAGGACAGACATTACAGTGAAAGGAAACAGTAAGTGCAACAGCACATGCTGCTCCTGTGTCAAATCTCTTATGTTAGATACAACATGACATTGCTACATTTTAGAAGTCTCATCCTTAAAGGTCAATGAGAGGATCATGATTATCGTTTAAAAACAGTTTTGTGAGGTTAGCAACTCTTAAATAGTACTTCAGGAAAATCTCAAATTTTTCTGTTTAGTTGAGGTTGATAATTAAAAAAAACTCATTATTATTTGTGTGTCTGCTCCAGGATGGCTTTAGATGACAAGCTCTACCAGAGAGACTTAGAAGTCGCACTGGCATTATCAGTGGAGGAACTTCCAACAATCATCATTGATGTGGAGGAGTCTCAAGATAAAAGTAACTTTATTTTCTATATGTTTATCTTTATAACCTTCTTATTGCTTTTGTAACCACTTCTTTGGATGAGCCTTCACAGAGGAAAGAGTACAATTTTAATACTTTGGGCTATAAATGGCTCAATTTGCAGAGGGTATGATTGGATTCACTTGTTAATTCTGCTGCATAAATCACATACATACATCTATCTCTGCTTAACACCCAAAGTGAACTTGAAGGAAGGACCTGGACTGTAAGCTTGGATGTTCAGATTACATTTCTGTATACAGTGAAAATTTAGTTT